GCTTTGTGGCTTGTGCCAGGTTGCTGCGTAATGAACAGGCAGGCACACGATGAACACTGCAGCTGTGAATTCTCAGGCAAACAACATCCTATGAACGGTGGATTTGTCGTGCAATCGTGTTCTTTTGAAGATTGCAGCGCTGTACTCGCTGTGCAACGGCAGAAATGGCTGACCGCCCTGTGACGTCCATCCAACCACAATTTAGACACAAAGCTACAAAATCAACGTTGCAGCATGTGTGCAAGCAAACAAGCATGCAATGGCTCTTCTTGCATTCCCTCTTGGGGCAATTGTTCTGGCCGCAGTTAACTTGGAACTCCAAAACTGCTCAAGTTGTTCTTTGACTTATATGATTACTGTAACGTAAGTGCCCACCTTTTGCGAACATCCCCAGGGGATGCTATGTTGGACAGCAGCAGAACAAAGCATTGGCTGGCATTGAACGCTTTGATGAATGAAACGGTTGCATAAGGAAAGGGAAACACCCATAGGCCCTAGGTGGTAGAATTAGGAAACTCAAGAAAAGGATGGGAGCAAAAAGGCATACGCCCAACGAAGACTGGGACTTGTGGGGCCCCTCTTGCAAAACAAAACCCCAGGGCAAGCAGTTTAGCGTTGGAAAAAGCGGAGCAGGTGAGAAAAACAACACTTTGAACTAGCTGACCCCAGTTTCTCCCAATGCTGTTCCTCCTTGAAAAAAGAAAGCTCTTGTGATTTGTGATGAGAAGCTACCTTCACCAAGAATCTCTAGTAGGTATATAAAACACATTAAAGCACGATAGAGTTACAGCCAATTCTGAACAACTTCTCACAGCAAAGTTCAATACCTCAGCAATGGCAAAAGTCTCGAGCAACGATGTCAGCTAGCAAGAAGGACCACAACTATCCCCGCAGTGTTTGGCAAGCAAGCTTGAGCCCATCAATCCGATGAGAACTCCTAAAGCAAGCTCGCCTAAAAGGAGGCCTCTCTTGGGCCGAAAACGGAGCTTGCCACTCAGCAGGCCACTTTCATGGACTTCCTTAGGTCATCGTGATGACCCAACAACTTGGGCAAGCTCGGGCCTGACTTCACCATGTGGGCCACGTCCAACAAAATCTCAGTTGCACGTGAGACTCCACCGGCCTCTCTAATGCCTTGGCTCACCTCAGTTGCCCTCTGGCGGAATTGTGGTTCATCGAAGACCCGCCTCAAGGCCTCAGTCACGTCCTTGCGGTACTGCACCATGGCTGCTTCTTCTTCACCATCAACGGGCACAGGTCGGTCAACCTGCAATGCCACGCCCATGGCTTGAGCCTTCTGAGCATTAGCAGGCTGATCCGCGACCCCAGGGCAACCCACCATTGGAACTCCCAACGACAAGGATTTCATGAAGCTGTTCTGCCCAAAATGGGTCAAGAATAGAAGGCACCTGGAGGTTCTCCAAGGCATCTGGCTGAGGGCCCGTGGCTAGCACGATCAAAGGCGTCTTGGCATCAACCTTTTCTGCGCCAAAGGCATCAAAAACGGCGCTGAAGGCGGATTGGCACAGCTGCTTTCCCGTCAGGCCCTGGCGTCCAGAAGACTGTTGGGGCTTCACATTCCACCCAAAATCATCACTGTCACCTGTGATGACGGTTCCCATGGATGCAAAGATCACCGGGCGCCCTACCTCTTTTGCCTCATGCACTTGCTTGAGAATGTCAACCTTCTGCGTGGATGGCTTGGATGAAGCTTCGTGCTCAAATTTGTGTCCAGCTGCACGTCTGGCACCCTTCTGGTCCAACAAAGGTCCAACACCCACGAAGCTTACACCGTCCTTCTCATAGCGTTCCATGAGCTCTGGTGATGCTGGGTCTTGAAGATCTTCAGTGGTCGTCATCATCACCAGATCCGCCTTTTTCAGGATTGGAAGGTAACCGAAGGTCTCCAAGCCACTAAAGATATCCAGTTCAATGCCGTAGGTATCTTTGATGTGGCGGATGCTCTGTAGCACAGGCTCATGGGCACGTGCCTGCTCCACGACCTCCTTGGGATCTTGACCTGCCAGGAAGAATTGCATAGCCAAGGCCATGCTCCCTGGGCCTGCGGTGGTCAGGAGTGCCACACTTGGAAGTTGAAGAACATGCGATGCATAGCCAGCATCTTGGTTCAGCATGGGGCAATAAACCACCGCAGAGGGATTGATCTTTTGAAGCCACCGGATGCATCCGGGAAGTTGAAGCTCCAAGGACTTGGGACCCACCTTCATAAAGCCCACCATCAAGGGATCCGATTCAGCACCAGCTTCCTTTTTCAAGGCCAACATGGCTCCCATCAGATCCACCTCACGTCCATGATAGAGCTCATGCTCTTCTTCAATCTCGGACCAATATGTAGCCCCAGTATCCTCGATGGCTGGCCTCATCTGTTCTCGTGACAGATAATGCACCTTGTGACCTTGAGACACCAACCTTCGAGCCAAGGGCAAGGAAGGATTGATGTGACCTGAGGCCATGCCGAAAACAAAAGCGAAGACCTTCGACTCTGCCATGACGACTTGTGACTGGGGCGAAGGAGGCAACTCCGAGCTTTGTGGCTTGTGCCAGGTTGCTGCGTAATGAACAGGCAGGCACA